GCCTAGCCTAGTCCTAGTTTTTGAAATTTGGGAGAACTTGAATAAATTCAGGAGACCGGGAGATAGCATGAAAATTCAGGAGATTCCCGATTGAATCAGGTGGATTGGAACCTTTGGTTTTGCTGCATAGCTTTTTAAAACAGAATTGCTTTTATAGTCAATATTTAGAACCATAACACAAAAAAAAATCGCTCTGGCTTTCCCACCACACCTGGGTCCTTGAGTGGGTCCCTGCACCCCATGCCCAAAGAACTTCCCTCCCCCCTCCCCAACCTTGAAGAACCTGGCTATGAGCCTAATAGAAGTAGATTCTATTTGACAATGAAAACCACAATAATGATAACCTGTGTCCTCCTTTGACTCAACTGCATTTGTTACATTCTATAGAAACGTTGGTATAGCTCCTGTGCAGTGTGTAAGCATGAGTCGTCCACAATATTTAATTAAATTTTAAGATGGACGCGGCTATTACAGTTTCCAATTTTAATATAATTTGCGAACTGATTTAATATATACATAATATCCCATTTTTGAAATTACAAATCTTGTGAATGTTCGTTATGTAGACGTTCACTTAAAAGTTGTGATGACGCAGCAGGAGCATTGCTCCATCTGAGTACAGCGACATGCGATGCCATAGAAATACGATAGTTCTAGACAAGTTCTTTGCATTATTACTATACTTGTATTAAAAAAAAATAATATCGAATGGCCCAGATAGGCAAAGAAGAAGTGAACGTTGGAGAATAATGAAAAACTAAGAAATATATATGCATAATGCTGTGCAATTTAGGCAGCAGTATTGTATACTGAATAATTAAGCCCTATTATTACTAGGTAGGCCTACTCGAAGTTTGTGAACCGATAAAAACGGAAGAAATCGTCTAACTGGGCCATTCGGTACTATTTTGTATGGATACAAGAATAGAAATAATACAAAGAACTCGTCTAGAATCGTCCTAATCCCATGCATTACAATGGCCTGTCGATAAGCTTAGATGGAGCGATCCACCTGCTTCGCGATCACAAATTTAGTTTAGAAAGTCTACGTAATGAGTGCGCACGAGATCCGATATTTCAAAAATGGGATATTATGTAACTGAACTAAACTAAACCAGTTCTCAAGTTATACAAAATTGGTAAAGTTCTCCTTTAAGATTGTAGATATAAAGCTTCTCAAGATTGAACTTAAAAATGACTGTGAGTAGGCAGGGGTGGATTCAGTAGGGGCAAACCCCCCTCCCCATTTTGCCACTCAATTTTAAAATTTCAATGCATATTAATGTTATGTGCTACCTACTTATTTATTCTGAAACTGTTTGGAATTTACTGGTAAGTGCACAAAGAACAGAGTCGGTAAGTAAATTCCATTCAGGAATAAATCTTTGGGTAGAGACCTGACTTGGCTATTAACAAACTTTATCAGGTTTGAGATAACTCGCACTTAGCATAGTCAATAAAAAGAGCTGCCACAGTGCCGTCGACGAGTTTACTCGTTCCCTAATATTTTCTTACTAATTTATTGCACATAATTTTGATGATACTATATATGACTAGATAAAATTCAAAAAATCATGTTTCTAGATTATAAACAATTGTTTTGGCAAACGTGAAGGAACCTTAATATAAAGTAAGGTCTGTAATAGTCAACCTGTTAACACTAATATCTAATTTATTTATATCGAGGAAGTTATTCACAATGAATTTGGTAACAAGGGATATAATTTGACTCAAGCATGTAGGAAGTAGTTAAAATTGAATCTGCCATTCTGTGGCTCAGATCCAAATTGTCATCATTCCTATTTTCCATTAAGATCCCTATACAAACCTGTTGAATGGTGTTATTTGGCTACTGGGCCGGAACTCAGGGGTTGGGGGGAGGGGTGCACATAGTGCGACTGCACCACCGTAAATAATAATTGTTGTATTGTATGTTGATATGAATTATTGGTAAGATTTTTAAGGTATGAGAGTGCAATTTCCAGGCGTAGATCCACACCTTCACACTGTTCACCATGGCAAAGATCAGAATGTGGGAGATAAAATATTAAAAAAAAATATAAAGTGATTGCATTGCCTGGTGATCTGGCGAACTCCAACTCTTTCCGTCAGAAATGCCACTTACCTAAACCAAAGACAAAAATATACAATGCAACAATTATTGCATTGTCTAATTATTAATCAAAAAAGGATCATAATTCAATCGGCTGTGCGATGTGATGTACTGTAATAACGTACACTGTTAGGTGTTTTTTTTATTTTCATTATTATTTTGATTTATGTCACAATGTACGGTTAATCAAAAATCATTCACAGGGAGGATATACATGTGCATTGGTTCTAATAACCGTACTTTATTATGTTATTCCAAAATTACACTAAAGCAAAAACCTATTATTTTAATTATTACTTTTTAATTAATGAATTATTATTTCATTGTTATAACAAATGCTTTAAAAAAAAATTAAAAAAAATTCTGTGATTTAAAAATCTTAAATGTTTACATGTCGTGATTTGGAAAACGCAATTTATCTATTTTTTAAGTTTTTGGCTTGGGAGCACCCTGTGGATGCAATCTATCATGGGAAGTGATCGTATACTCCAAACAATTTTTAGAAATATGAAATAATTATTATGCTTATTTAATTACTTTTCCAGCTGGTATAGGTACAACATTACCAAGTTTGTTTATGGTCAGAGTACATTTAAAGAATTGCATTATTATTTTTTCCTTTAAGAATTATAACTTAAAGTTGTGGTCATAGATGAATTTTAAAACCATATTATTAACTACGATTATTAGGTTAAACTTTCCATGTCGGCGCGTGCACTGAAAACATAATTTTTTTTTAAATTGAATCTAACATGTGTATAATAATATTCTCCTAATAAACAATTGAAGAATGGACTTCCTTTGCTATGGTTATATTAGACTGTAATATTATTAAAGAAGACCATTCAACAAACAACATAAAATAAAATTCCCACGTCGTGTGACAAAGTGTTCTCCCTTATGTTGTGGTCATATTAGAATGTAATATCATTAAAGACCATTAAACAAACAACACGAAACATATCAACATTTTAGGTTAAACTTTCCACTTCCGTGCATGCATATAACGTAAACTTTGGATATATATTATCATCACAGTTTGGAATGTACCACTCATATAAATTGCAGATAATTACTGTTGTCCGATTGTGTGCATTGAAAATGTGACGACGAACTTCGGCCACAGCCCTCGGTTGACATTTCACATCAAAGGGCCTGTTGAGTAATCTTGCACAGGAGCCTGTAATTACCTAGCTATAGGCCTCTTCCTCCTCCTTATCCTCATCATCATTATCATCTTCATAATTATCAATTGTCCATAAAAAATTGTGGAAAAAACTATGAAAAACAAAAAACAAAACTTTCCCAAGGAGGACACTCTGGATCAGCACCTGAGAGGTCAATTATTCTCACAATTTTCTGCCCTCAGCCCCAACCATGGTGGGACTAATGTGGTGTATACTTTCACGCACCCCCAACCACCAAATCCTGCATCCGCCCCAGGGCTATCATTTATTTTTATTCTATTGTTTTTCTAAGACATTTGTCATTCACAGGTTAATACTTGATTTACAGTACATATAAGAGGCTTTCTTTAAACACCAATCATATCAAACATTTATACATAACTACATTAAATTAAATGTTAAAATTCTCATACTCCACACTTCGTCTGAGTTTTCCCTTTGATTAGTCAGACAGAGATCATGATCTTGTTGCACGTTTTGAGGATGCTGCTTCATCCTCATATCTAGTGGCGTAACAAAGCTCACAATCTTTAAGATGGCATCCTTTTTTCCTCTTTGAATTCCCTGTAGTAGTAGTTTTCATCCATCATGACATTTGAAAAATTTGGTATTGAAAATTCACCTACCAAGCTACATTTTGAAACTAGAATGTTTAAAGTCAAGTTTTAAATAGTGATACTTAAACGAAATATTATACCATATCTGTTTGAATAAATGCCATTTATTGTTGAGAAGGGTTTTTAAAGGGGAATTTATTCGAGGGAGGCGTTAATTGTTTTTGTGTGTAAAATGGATCCATATACTCAAATAAATGCCCTTTAATTTCACTGTAAATGTGAAACTACAAGTCACAATTAATGTCAAAATGTGTTAATATGTGATCATAAAGACTTTGATCCCAACCAGGTTCAGATTTTAAATGTAATTCTACTGGAACTTGATCAATAATTAGAACAACACTCAATTTGGAGTAGCACATTAATAGAAAGTCTTGCAATTGATGTTGCTTCCACTAGATTTAGGGGGAGTGGGGGCGTCTAATCGAGAAAAAAATTAACAACTAAATGCATTTTTTTCCAAGGGACCTAAAAGATTGTCAAAAATCACCAAATTTTAGTCTCCTCCCAGAACGTAAAAACCAGATGTCCTCCTAGACACCCTGACCCATCCCTTGGTTTCTTGCTCCATCGCAAAAAAAATCTTTACTGTACTGTCTGATTGATGTTACTATGTCACAGATTGCAATTACCATATTAATTTGAATAGGGCCTATATGCTCAGCTTTGAATAACATCCCCTTCAATTAAATACCCTATAATAATCATCTAGGGCCTAGGCCCTATTACTTTTAGACAACAATAAACAACAGCCAACTAATGGCCAATTGATCGATCTGTTGTTTTGTCAAAATCATTCTTTGGCAAATCTATTGGTGGGCCTGCAGGTTGGCCCGCCAGCTAAAATTGTTGGGTAGGCCTACTTCGCCAACCGGGCCGGCCCACTTTGTTCCTCTGCAAGCAGGCGTCACTGGCTCTGCCTCCCTACTAGGCCTAGGCCTAGTTCCCTTTCTCACCATGCTTTCACCAATTCCTACATCCTCCTCCAGCGCCCTGTGTCACTAGACACCTGTAGAATGTTTGCCCTTCATCACACCCGCTGTGCTAGCTAGATAAATATTAAATGATCTACCATATACGTACCAAATGAAGTCCTTGCAGTGACTGCAGAAAGTGGGTTGTTTGAAGTACCGCGCGATAAATTCGTGATCCTTCACTTGATGTACATTTTTCTGTCGTAAAGCTCCGCGTCTTGCGAATCCTTTCGGCTTATTTCCAGAATTCGACATGATTGTAATTTACTGATATCCCATAGGCCTATATACTATTTAACGCCAACAAAAATGTAGAGATTTTGAGCCAAAACAAGGCCTAGTAGATAGTGTTGTATTCGCTGTGTACCTTCGACCGGTTCACTGGATGTTGTTGATATAACAACCTTTCTCGTTGTGAATTGAACGATGGGAACGATACTCAGCACATCCTAGGAACCTGCATAACATTTACCTGGTAGAAAAATCACCGGGGAAGTCACGATTATCTTCAAAGGGGGTATTTCACACTCATTCGCAAACATGAATTCTACACAAATAAAAAAGAAAATCCACAAAAATAATACCAAACCATGTTCTAAAGATCTGTTTACATTTTTTTTGCTCTTTATATATGAGATGCAATATTGGGGGTGGGTGCGCGTAATGTTTTAGTAGAGATTATGTTTTGATTGTTATTATGTTTCTTATAGGGGGCGCTATTACATTTTTACTCATAACGTGGTAATTGTTCAATTATTAATTAGAGATGATTCGGTTATGCTACAACAATTTAGGACCGGTTGTTAATAGACAGCCCGCGATCCAAATTCGGCCCGCGAAGCAAATTATTCTGGCCAGCGAGAAAAAATAAAATTGTAAGAAAATATATTTAAAGAAACTAAAAGTAATAACAATTCGATGAATATTTTTTTCAATAAAGTGAAGGCCAAACACAACACTGGGCCAATATGAAGTAGCGGGTGACCCCACACAAATCTAGAATTAAATCCGTTAACAACCAATCGACAAACGCCAAAATATTGGCAGTCTTGGTTCAGCCAATTTATATGACATAACAAATTAAAAATAAAAACTTTACCATAGATTTGTATTTATTATGAGGTAACAATATTTGGTAAGGCGTAAACGAAGAAAAACAACCGTAAGGATCACAGTCAATAATGATACTTTGTTAAAAAAAAAAAAAAAAAAAAGGAAAAATGCAGGAAACGGTACTTCGCACACAGTAAAGACAGGAAGATATGACAAGTTCTTTTACCAGTAACCGACAGCATTAAACGTCAGCCGACCCTGCAAAATATTTTGGCGACTCAACTTCGGTTGCAAATGATATTTCGAATACCAGGGTGGGCCTAACAACACCAACATGAATGGAAATTTAAATAGAATATCCACGAATTATGAGTTTCAGAAAGCCATTAAATACGGCCTCAAAATGTTACTTTGTCGGAGGTTGCCTCTGGACCCAGCTACCGGGGGTCATATGGACAGCCTCAGCCTCGCAGGTGCAGCCCTTCTCCTCACATTCTAAAATTCTCCCACGGGCCTGTAAACAACCTAATGGATGAAAATATGCTTAATTTTTTCATTTCAAAATAATAATACAATAAATTAATTATGAAATCTAACATAAAAAGTAACAGTAGAATTTTCAAATCTTGGGAAGATTTTTTAATTTTTAAGAATTGTATTGTTTTTTTCATTTTCTTTCAGTGCATCTTAAATTTTCAAAATGATAATGCATGTATAGTTTGTTATCATAAAGCAATATTACGGTACTTGGCCTCAATATGTGTTTTTGAAATTAATTAATCTTTCTACACAAACAAGACTTTACAAATTATATATTTTTTGTAGCGGATTCAGGGGTTTCAGGGGAACCACCCTCTGTGCAGTGGCGGCGCCAGCGGGGGTGGGGCAGCAGGGGCTTAAGTTCCCCCATCCAGACAGGTCAAGCCCCGATATGGACAGAGCTCGTCGGGCAGTCAGGGTAAAATAGACATAAAGGCCCACGCCAAGCCAACACATGTCTGTCACAGTCTCAGGGTGTCATTTCTGGCCATCCAGAGGCCCCCCCAGAAAATATATCCTAGAGCCGCCAGCCTCTATGAAGAAATTTAAAAAAAGTAGTACTGGGTCCTCTGGGGCGGATGCAGAGTTGGTGCAGACGGTGCGATCGCACCCACCTAAATTGTATTAAGAAAAATAATTGTTGTATTATATTGTTGATATGAATCAGTAAGATTTTAAAGGTATGAGAATGCAATTTTAAGGCCCCTAGAGGTATATTCTCAAAATTGAGTTGCCTCAGCACCAACCATCGTGTGGCTGAGGTGGTCTGGACATTCACGCTCCCCTACCGCCATATACTGCATCCGCCCCAGTTCCTGGCACAAAAGGCATGCTAACCTACTTAAGCATAAGTTGGCAGATCGGACAAACAAGGCTTAGTCTAACTAGCCATAAATTAAATAAAATTAAAAACACTGTATTTGGTTCGAAGTCGTAAACATAATTGTTGTACGAACGTGCGTTCTTCATGCCTATCAGTTCAGTCCATCGATTCATAGAAAAAAGAATACGTATTCAACTACTCAATTTTCTTTCTCTATGTAGGCCTATACACACATGATATGCCTATTTACTGTACTGTAATAAATGATACAATTTACGTGACCGTTTTCAAGAGGAAAAGAACCTTGAATTTTGAAGAAATTGAAGTCATTAGGAGCCTATATACTCAGAAGTCGGGAAAGCTCATTTCCCACCATCTAGGTATCAAGACGGGCCAAAACCAAAACAGAAGAGAAACATAAAGTTAAAAAGCAATAATTTGAAAGGAAATTTGTTTAATATAAAGTCCATCGTAAAACATTATAGATTTAAGTCTTAATCTGTTACCATTTCCCATTGCGTGATTCCTTCAGGTAAAGCCATGTATGAACTATTTTAAGTCCCAGTGCTTAGGAATACATCGCCCTCAATCTTCGAAGGTCTAACTTAACCACTAACAAATGACTGAAAAATTACAAGGAAATACTCGTCTGTCTCAGCACCGACGGTACGTGTTTGCGTACGTTAAACGCTATCGTAGCCCCACAAACCGCGAACTATGTTTACCTCTGTCGTTTATTATTAAAAAAATAACAATTTTGTGAAAGAAATTGAATCAAAAGTTTTGATGAAATTTAGATAGAAGCGCCACCTACAAATTTGCAATTGTTGCATAGAATTAACATAGGCCTATTTTAAAATATTTATTTCAAAACTTGATTTTAGTGCCCAGCCATCCCCCAGAAGGCGAGAACTGGCGCCCCTCCTGTCGGCGAAAAGAAAAAATATGTATAATTAGGCCTTTATAGTTTTTAAGATTTAAAAGGGCCTACCCTAAATTGTCGTAGCTCCTGGGGATTCACACCCTGCATAACTCCCGAGAGATTTTGATATACGCCCGACCACACCTACTTTACGTTCCCCGTCGGGGACATCGGACCCCCTCCCCCAAACCGCCGTCGGGGAAAATCCTGGCGCCAACCCCTGAATTAATGGACAATTTTGTCAGACCTCCTGTGCTTGCTTTGATTATTCCTTTCCGTATTTTACCACCAGCTCAATATTTACTACCCAAGACCGAGCCGCAGGAACTTAGTTGGGGCTCAGATCATTTCGGCAGCCAGATTTTTTTTAACAATAGAAAGTATGGCGCACCAACACAGTTCCGTTGTTAGTGTGGTTGATGCAGGATGTACAAGCGTAGGCAAATAATAATCTGGCCTTTTTTTATTTAACTTTACATACATACATATTTGTATGTATGTAATGCATGATTAGGCCTACGTATTTTTCATTAGGTAGGCCTATATTCATTTATTTTTGTGGTTAATAAAATATAATAACGCCTAATGATACCGTCATTATTCACATTTTAGGGCCTATTGTATAACAAATTGTTATAGTATTTTTCTATAGCACAAAAGCCTAGTTGTAGTTGATTACCTATAGTACGCCTCATAACTGGTAATGAGTTGTGTGTCACTATACTTAATGTAATGTTGTACTTTTTTTTTTATCTTTGGAACGTTATACACTATTGCATTTTAATTGATTTTAAGCAATGCAATTAACTCATCATAAAAAGTTTTATATATATATATATATATACCGTATATATTTTATATTTATATATATTATATATTTCGTGCAAACGAACATTCATACAAATAATGATTTATTAACTACTGATTAGCTTGTGACGTATTCGAAATTCGAACCATGAAAAACAAATAAGATAAACTTAAAACAGTGATTAATTTAGTGTTTTTTCATGTACACTACTTTTAAAATCAATCAGGAGATTTTTACTTTTCTTCCCTTTTCGAATTTCACACTTTTTTATTAGTGATATTACGACTACACTATTGTGAGTGAAAATAATATCAGTCTATTGTCAAATAAAGTGAAGTCACCTCGATCTGACGAAATAACATAAAATTATCAGCCATATATATTGCTCCAAAAAGCTTAGCGTGTTTCACGCTGACATTAGCTGTTTTTAGGTCATTTTTTGTCTTTCCACAGTCGTATCTCAGCAAATACAAATTTTTGTGTTGCCTTCTGTGATGTCCCCCTACTGTGAAAAGTGGGAGTGACGTGTCGCCCTGTCCCCACCGATCGACGCCCATGTAAACAATACATGGATTTGCGTCAGGAGAATTAATTAGGGGTGGGGCTATGTGTGTAATTTTGGCCAACCTGTCTTGAAAATGTACTGAATACTCAGTGCGTGTGAAAACAGCAAGTTGTAAAAATCACTGTAAATATTTAACTATATACTGAAACTTACATAATAAATACAAAAATAAGTAAATTTACATAAACATAATATAGGAATAAAATATCAAGTATTATAAGGAATTGTGTATGTATATTAATATTTAATATTTAATATTTAATTTTAATATTCTTGTTTTAATATGTTATGTTTTTATACCGGTAGGTCTACATAAATTCTTAATTATTTACTGTCCCAACCATCAAACAAAATCAACAAATGTATGAATGACATACACTACATTTTTATTCATTATCACGCAAGAAAAATAAATCTAACGTATCAACGTCAAACATTTTCACATTGTACATAAAACACATCGGAGGATGTATACTGTACAATAAAACTAACAATACGTAATTACTTATTTGGCAATGGGCCTATATTATATTATTAACACACATTCTACTGGATCTTTAAACAAGTAAATTTTAATCACGTTATGTTTTTATGCAGGTAAATAAATTCTTAATTATTCACTGTAGGCAAAGGCTTATATATTTTCTCCTTTTTGTTACTGACGTATCCATCTGTTGTATGACTACGTTCTTCTCATTGGTGGCTGTTGTATATTCGGTGGCCTCTTTGGCGTTCCATTCATTTGGCGCGTCTGGGAGAACAGTAACATTTTACTGAAGAGGTAAAGCGAATTATCATAAGCTGACGCAAATTATCCAGTAGTTTACGCAAATTGTAATGATTTGACGTAAACTGACGCATTTTTACAGTCCGAAAAAAATTTAATGCGGTGGCATCGCATGTGGTGGCGGCGCGCGCTATACGATGATCGATATCTTGGTGGTGGCGGTGGTTTCTAAACTTTTTAAGTTTTCCGGAGGTTCCTAAAAATATAAATAAATATTTATTAAATAAATATATTAAATATTATCGATTGATTGAAATAGTATATATGCCTATATTTAGGTAAAATATCCCATTGGATGAAAAAAAAAATCAACATCAAAACACTAATTTCAATATGAATTGAATGAACAATCCTTTCTATAGAATTATGCCCGCAAAAATGCGATGATTTGGTATATTCATTGTACAATAAAAAATATGACACCATGTATCTTTTATATCTTGTTTTATTGGTAAACAGTGTAGTTTATGAGATGGTAAAATGCTTTAAATGTATATAATTTGAAAATCACGTTGTACATAAAACATATCGGAGATGGTTAAATCCTTTAAATTCATATAGGCCTACGGAAGAATTTTTGCAATTATTTTTGGAGATTTCAAGGCAGCGGCGGGCGTAATATAATTTTTTTTTAAACAACTTTGATTTAGTATGAAATTCGAAATCATTATTGGCGTGGCACTACATTATTCATGTCATCAAAGTTGTACATAAAACACAAGGCGCAAGATGTGTAAAATATTTTCTTATTTTATTCACAACATTGAAAATAAATAAAAAAGATTCAAACATATCAACAACCGAAATGTCATCATAGTTGTACATAAAAACAAATATTGTTTTGATATTCTTGTTTTAATATGTTATGTTTTTATACCGGTAGGCCTACATAAATTCTTAATTATTTACTGTCTCAACCATCAAACAAAATCAACAAATGTATAAATGACAAACACTACATTTTTATTCATTATCACGCAAGAAAAATAAATCTAACGTATCAACGTCAAACATTTTCACATTGTACATAAAACACATCGGAGGATGTATACTGTACAATAAAACTAACAATACGTAATTACTTATTTGGCAATGGGCCTATATTATATTATTAACACACATTCTACTGGATCTTTAAACAAATACATTTTAATCACGTTATGTTTTTATACAGGTAAATAAATTCTTAATTATTCACTGTAGGCCTAGGCTTATATATTTTCTCCTTTTTGTTACTGACGTATCCATCGGTTGTATGACTACGTTCTTCTCATTGGTGGCTGTTGTATATTCGGTGGCCTCTTTGCCGTTCCTTTCATTTGGCACGTCTGGGAGAACAGTAACATTTTACTGAAGAGGTAAAGCGAATTATCATAAGCTGACGCAAATTATCCAGTAGTTTACGCAAATTGTCATGGTTTGACGTAAACTGACGCATTTTTACAGTCCGAAAAAAATTCAATGCTGTGGCATCGCATGTGGTGGCGGCGCGCCCTATTCGATGATCGATATATTGGTTGTGGCGGTGGTTTCTAAACTTTGTAAGTTTTCCGGAGGATTCTAAAAATATAAATAAATATTTATAAAATAAATATATTAAATATTATCGATTGATTGAAATAGTATATATGCCTATATTTAGGAAAAATATCCCATTGGATGAAAAAAAAAATCACCATCAAAACACTAATTTCAATATGAATTGAATGAACAATCCTTTCTAGGAATTATGCCCGCAAAAATGCGATGATTTGGTATATTCATTGTACAATAAAAAATATGACACCATGTATCTTTTATATCTTGTTTTATTGGTAAACAGTGTAGTAATGAGATGGTTAAATGCTTTAAATGTATATAATTTGAAAATCACGTTGTACATAAAACATATCGGAGATGGTTAAATCCTTTAAATTCATATAGGACTACGGAAGAAATATGCAATTATTTTTGGAGATTTCAAGGCAGCGGCGGTCGTAATATAAATTTAAAAAAAAACAACTTTGATTTAGTATGAAATTCGAAATCATTATTGGCGGGGCACTACATTATTCATGTCATCAAAGTTGTACATAAAACACAAGGCGCAAGATGTGTAAAATATTTTCTTATTTTATTCACAACATTGAAAATAAATAAAAAAAATTTAAACATATCAACAACCGAAATGTCATCATAGTTGTACATAAAAACAAATATTGTTTTAATATTCTTGTTTTAATATGTTATGTTTTTATACCAGTAGGCCTACATAAATTCTTAATTATTTACTGTCTCAACCATCAAACAAAATCAACAAATGTATGAATGACATACACTACATTTTTATTCATTATCACGCAAGAAAAATAAATCTAACGTATTAACGTCAAACATTTTCACATTGTACATAAAGCACATCGGAGGATGTATACTGTACAATAAAACTAACAATACGTAATTACTTATTTGGCAATGGGCCTATACTATATTATTATAATAATAATAATAATAATATTTATTCGGCAGAGTAAAAAAGTATACATACAATATTCTTGCCATGAGTAAGTAATAGGCATAAGCCCAAACAGTAAGCTGCTCTTACTCCATCATCAAAAACAAATACAATGACAATACAATATAAATATATACAAAAAAGTAAATTCAAAATAAATTGTTTTAACTAAAACAAAAAAACACACATATTAACACACATTCTACTGGATCTTTAAACAAATAAATTTTAATCACGTTATGATTTTATACCGGTAAATAAATTCTTAATTATTCACTGTAGGCCTAGGCTTATATATTTTCTCCTTTTTGTTACTGACGTATCCATCTTTTGTATGACTACGTTCTTCTAATTGGTGGCTGTTGTATATTTGGTGGCCTTTTTGGCGTTCCATACATTTGGCGCGGCGGCCGAAATGAGTGGCGGCCGAAATGAGGTTGGCCCATAGAGCTATTAAACAACTAGAGTGCTGACAAGATGGCGGAGCAATGCAGAGTTGTGTATGTGTACCATCCAAGATGGCTGCCGTAGGAAGGCGCCACCTTCAGGCTTTTATATCTCTATGGGTTGGCCCCTTAATAGCACATAACCTGAGATACTAATGGCGTTCCATAACTAACGGCGTTCCATAGGTAATACCGGTAAGCAAAGAGTATGCGGTAAGTTTGTTTTTTTGTTGTCGTCGCGCTTACGTACTTATCGCTCGTGTTGGTGCTACTACTACTGCTCATGTCAGAAAGTTGTTGTGGGGTAAGTAACATAGGCAAGACCATATTTCTTGCTTACCGAAATAGCAATGATTAATATAAGTATGTTGTAAAACAATTTGAAAACCGCTACTGCTTTTGGAAAGATATTATTAATACATTGAACTCATCTATCTAGCCTAGGCCCGGGTCTAGTCGTCCTAGGCTGGGCCACCTTCGCTAAGCGAATGCTTAGCTAGATCAGGCGTGTCGGCTAGCTAGCGAGGCCTAGGCAGCAAATGTGACGTCTCACTCGCTGTCGTGAACTAAATCCAGCGGGCGGTCGCCATAGAGATCGATGTTGTTATGATGCTGAAGTTTCACTTGTCGATCTTCTATTATATTTTCAATCGTCTACTAACCTTTAAGTGGGTTTTGTTGTACCACAGTTGCATAGAAACACTGACTAGGGCCTAAATATTATATAGTTGGGTACAAAGCAACATTCATTCTTACTGTGCTGTAGTGTAGTTTACTCCATGGTTTCAACTGTGTAACTTAGTTGTGATTAGGCCCTATAAAAAATATTATTACTATTGTTTATCACGCTATCTGGGTAGGAAAAGTGATGAGGGAGGAGGCTTTTTTTTTT